GCGTAATAAAGATTGTCTTTCTTGATAAAGTTTGGTTTGGTGAGAATATTCCCAGTATAGTGCAGTAAAAGGAACTATTGCACGCGAAGTAACTTGATAGAACGCAGACTGACAGACTGATCTGCGTTGGCGTTACCAGACTCTGGCCAAATTCACACACCTCTTTTGAGAAGCAAGAACCCACCCAAACATGACACGACGTGAGTCAGACTGAAGCGACTGACTCGCTGTGTTTTCACTGTAACAATATAAATTAAAAAAGTAATTTATTATTAATTTAATATATTTGAAATATAATTATATATTTTTTTATTTAAAAAATTATTAATTATTAATTATTAATTTTATTTTATTTTTTGCAAACAAATATTATATACAAAACCTTTATTAAACAAAAGTTTATAGCTATTATATTAATTATTTTTATACTATATATAGAGAGACCTCTTTAAATACATTTTCTATAAATACACTTACAATATTTTCTTTTTCTAAATGCATGGTCAAGCTTGGTTTCAAGTACATAAAAATCTTAATAAAACCATCTCCATAAATGCATAACCTCTATAAATATATATTTTTTAAAAATTTTCCTATAGTCCTGAGGGGTGTGTATTTAGAAAGAATTCACTATATATTAATTATTAATATTTGAAAATTTTTTAATAATTATTTGTAGAAATCAATTTGAAATATATAATTAAATCTTATTAAAAAAAGAAATAAATTTATATAAATAAATTTATAAAAAATATATAACAAATATTGAATAATTAAGAATAGCAAAGATATAAATATAATTAAAAATCTTATTACAAATTTAAATATATAATTAGATCCAATTATTGATATATAATTAGAAAGAAAAATTAATAAATTGATTTTTTAATATTTAATTAAATTTTTTATTAATTATAAATGTTCTGATTTATAATTGAGACTTGGTTCATCAATAAAATCTGTGTGTATTGCAACTTAGCCTTAAAAAAAATAAATAAATGTTCTAATTTAACAATTTTATCTTAAAACTATATATTATTTTGCTTAAACATATTTCTAAAATAAATATAGAAACCCTAAGACATTTAATTTTTGCATCAAAAGGTACGTATTCTAAATATTGATTTGCATGTTTAAAATTTTGGCAAAATAAATTATTAAAACAATAATTCTTTTTTACTTTTACGTTGACTGTAAATGAATATAAAAATTAAATAGTCAATTCACCAAATCCCGGTAATTTACTATAGGGATGTATATATGCAAGTCTATATGAATCCATATTGATCTAAATCCTATTTATTAATATTTTTTTATTATATACATTCTATAAAAAATTATTTTAAATTTTTATTTCATAATTAAAATTATTTATTCGCGGAACTAATTTATACGAAGTCACATGGCGAAATCAATATAATCTCTAAGTACATCAAAATTCTTAATTCGATTTCGGACACGGTGATAACGAAGATCTTCTCGACTGCAAGAAAAACAAATTACTCATGAAATATAAAAATACTAAGAAATTGGCATATAATAAATACCTCTTTTCTTATTCTTGGAGTTATTATAGAATTCAGTTTAATGGGTGCCTTTGCATGTTGAATAACTCGCATGTTTTCTACGTTCTCCCCAAAAATCCGCGAATCCGTGATAACCTTTTTACTTAGACGACCGGTTCTGTTGAGAAGATTCTAAAATGGTACCTTGTCAGAAGAAGTGAACCAACAAAAACAGATTGAGGGAAAAACCTACTCGATGGATCAAAAATTTTTTACATAGAAACACAGCAGTGATGATGTCGTCTTCTTTTTTTGGTAAGTCCTGAGATGACCATTCCCATATACCATATAAGTCGCCTTCGATTTGAATTAAAATATAAAATCTAATCTTCATTCCGATTACTTGAAAGAAAGGGATTGGTATAAGTCTTAATTTATTTCGAATATCCAATGGAAGAGGGTTATTTCTGCTTTTTTCTATGCACTTAGTCTGAAAACTAATGTGTTGCGCCCGAGCGACCTTGATTACGTCTACAAAATCGGTGATGCTTTTTTTATGATGATCTTTATGCGTAGGTCCAGTGTTCTCACCGATACCAACTTCATTGCCATTTTTCTGCAGATTTGTTACTATCAGTAGACATCATACGTTTGCACCAAATGTCAAGCAAAAGGCCTACCCAAAAAATAAAATCACAAGATTTTCCGGTTCTTTCTGATGGTGATCGGGAAGATTTTTCATCTCTATCTGCATAAGAGTGACTTTCTCCGCTATAAAGAAAAGAATGCTAATTATCTTGGTGGAAAAGACTTAGCATAGAGAACATAATTAACAATTAACACAGGACTCTTACTATATAAATTTCACATTTGGAGTTTTTGAAAATGGACCAATGAGATGCATATCAACAGTCCTTTCAATATGTGTTACTCCACCGTACGTGCGTACCCATTCGTTACTATAACAATAATGTTCAATGAGAAAGAATGTTAACAGGTGTAATCAAAGACATGATTTAAAAAAGCTTACAAAGCGTCTAAACACTCTCCAATATATTGCGTATCTTTGTCGTATATGTCCACTTTGTCTGTTTTAATATGAAGTAAGGAACAAATTCCTTTGATTCCCTGAGCCCGTTTTTCTTTACAGAATTTTTTTAGACTAAAAGTACTCGATTGAAGTACTTCCAACAGTGCTAAAGTAGATGGGTTCAACTGTGATCCCTTATTTATGAACTTGGTGGTTATTTGTTGGAGCCTTATAACTTCATCTTGAGTGAGAAGTTCTTTTGCACGAGGATGTTTAGGGCATGGTGAGACATTCTCTGCCCTAAGATCAATAATACCCCAGCACAACGGCCTACAATTACATGTTAGAGGAATTCAAAAATATAAAAGAACTAGTTGATACATACATCATCCGACAAGCCATTTTATCTTCTCGCGCAGTGTTAATTTCTGCTATTGCCTTGTCATAAAGCATAGATTGATCATTTTTAGTATCCAAAGACAATCGCTTTCGAGCATTCTTGAACAATGAATAAAAACAATTAAGAAATATTTATAGCCTTCTAATTGATCGTAATTTAAGGATTACCTCTTCCAGATTTTCTCGTTTTCTTTTTGATTTTTTATCTTCGAAATTTCCGCTGTTTGTCCCTATTACAGAGCTTTCCACAATTGTTGACTTGTAAAAATGAATCGAGTGTCCACCAACCTTCCTAGGTGATTTACGTTCTTTATTCCATTTTCGTGCCTCTTGGCGGTCAGGCCGACTGCCCTAAAATGAAAAACCAAGAAACATAAGTAATACTCATGACAAATATTTAATAATTCTTTTTGATTTTCATTCCATCAGGTCAACAAAAAGTCTTGAACACCAGGCAAAAGAACCAATAAGGTCACCTGTGCCCTAATGGACCAAAGCCAGGTCAACAATAAGTCTTGAACACCAGGCAAAAGAACCAATAAGGTCGCCCGTGCCCCAACCTTGATTTTGTAGCTCAACTAAAAGTCTTGAATGGCTAAGAAACTAAAAGTTTTCTTGCCACGCTACTTATTCCTACATTTAAAATAAAAAAAAATCTTTACTTTCCTCCTTGTACTTGTCAATAAGCATAAGCGCTCTTTCACGTTGTTTTCCTCGTTTAGAATTGGCAAGGTTAATGAGTGATTTGATATATATGTCTAGTTTTTTTTCGAAGGGCTCTTCACTAGACTCCTCCAAAAAATCTGTAATATTCCATTTCGAAGATTCTCGGATCAAAAAGTACTCATGAATTTTTTTATCAGACATGAGAAAATTTCAAACAGGTCTATGACAACTCCACTGAAATATAAACGCGTTTGTAAATCAAACACGTACCAATTATATATAATAAAATTTAGCAGTCACAGGACATTTCCCCTTAACCAAGACTAAAATGCCATTTTTATAATACAATTTATATTGTGTGTAACGACAGTAGGA